GGCCATTGCTTGAAACGTCGGCTATTTTTTCTTTTTAAACCAATGCGTTCTTGATAATTGTGTCGAGTTTTTATTTATTTAAATAATGACAAAAAGCCCTTGTTATTGACACGGCATGGTGAAGGACTTCATCCAGCAGTGGATTTACAAAGGGATATACATTTTTGTTTGTTAACAGTGTACTGTGCATGCTGTAATAGTTGTGGTTTCCTCTCATTGCAATGAAGGCTTTGATTTAGGTTGGTAGCCCACTAGCCATTAACATCTACTTATCCGGTGATCCAAGCCAAGTGAGAAAAGGGGGTTGTGGTCATTTCCATTGAAACACACGGGATAGCCATTCCATATTCCCTTGACAGGAGCCGGTCTCTCCCCATCTGATGACATCTTTTGACTTCGCTCTCGCGGGAAAATGGCAACGTTAAACACTGCCCCATGCATTGTCACGATTGTTCCGCTGTGGTTCAGTTTTTTCCCCCAATTTTATTTAGGTGAGCCCCGTCTGTGGGGCTTCGGTGCCCCTCGCACAGCTGTCCCCTGGCTACGAGGCCTGCACGTTGCCTCACGAGTGGCATCGCAAAACCCTGGAAGTCGCGCACAAGAAGACGATTAGTAACTCGGGAAGTGCACTCTTAAAGTCATTCGTCATGCTGTTCATTTATCATGCAGCGCATTTGAGTTCTAGATTTCCCCGCTAATAAATAATTAAAATGCAGCGCACACTACAACGCGACTGTAATGATAAATTAGAGCAATTTTGCATTTGGACTTATTTTAATTTAATGTTTGTAATATTTTCAAACCCGCCCGCGCTATCTATGATTGTTGCAGAGGATGGGACAGTGACAAGGTAATTGTAACTGATAATTGGTTAATATAATTGTCATAGCTATTAGGATATTAGGATTACATTATTTTTCAAACCCCATCATTATGTATTAATCATGGAACTGAATAATTGCATCCATGTCAGGGGTTAATGTATTGAAAAATATTTTATTAGGCATGCATTTAAATCTACCATTACCACTGCTTTGTAGAAACATTTTTGCAACCCTTATAATGTATTAGTTGGTGATGGGCAGAGGGGGGGAGAGAGGCTGGGGGGGACCGGGCCAGTTCAGACGTCACTCACCAATGCTGTCAACCATGGGCAGGAATCGAACTCAGGTTGCCTGCTTCACAATGCATTGCACTCGGAATCAAGGCAATCCCCACAATGACCAGCGTGGTGAAGTATGGTTAAACAACCCCCACGACTGACATGATGATATGGGTAGGGAAGCCAGTGGATTAGCTAAAGGGCTGAAAAGCGTTGTTAATTATGATTGGTAATGTGATGTATACATGCCGACATGTGTTTTGCGACTGCAAAGGTATCCTTTAGCATCATGGATTATAACGGGTCTCTCACAGCACACCGCTATGCAGTGGAATTCACTTTTCTAAAAGCAGCAGGACCCTTGCCGAAAACATCATCCAATTATATACTTTGTGTCATGAGGCAGCGTTGATGATGAATGCTATCCTTTTTTTTATTGTACACATCCTGTAAATGGAAACTGTTCGCAAAACCACTCTTGATAAATTGGGTAAAAAACCCCTAAGTGCTGCTCAAGCATTTAATATGCTTAATTTTCTGCACCAAAGACGATGAATATGCAACATCGACGTGGAAAACCACTCCGCGGTGTATTTTTAGTTTTCTGACGGGAACAAAAATACCTCGCAATTATGAACGCCAAATATACACCCCAAGTATTCTGAGTATGCGTGTAATCGCTTGCTCTGCATCTCAACCTCCAACGCCACGCAGGGCGGTTTGTTTTTGTACATTAGCTCTGTCCATCTGTCCGTCTGTTCATTCCTCTCTCTGTCACATGGCGTCATGATAACGCTCGGAGCAACGATCCAATTTAAACTACAATGCTAGTACAGTATTGTGTTGCTGCTACTGGAGTGTTTTACCCTACAGAAAGCCGGGCGAATTAATTAAAGCATTGCCCAAAACCTGCAAACAGAATGCATATTTAAATATATATTTGCAAATATCCAAAAGTGTTTTACCCTGGCAGATACGTCGGTAGCTTCCACACTCTTAATTAAAATTCTTCCGAAGACAAACGCATCTTGGAGGGCTTGACGTAATGCCATGCGTATGCATGATGTTTCGAACGTGTTCTCGAATGGAAGCACATGACAGGTTGCACGTTACCATTCAACAGCTACCGGCAGCATTTGGCAAGGCCAAAAGCGCACTTTAACTTTTTCTAAACATAATGTGTACACTAATAGCGATTATAATTTATGCCTGAAATGTAGTGCTCTATTTACGAGTCGCTGTTATAATTTTAGATACCCCACCAGCAGAAGTGATTCTATTGTGGAGATAACCAGCAAAACTATCTGATCAGATATGAAATTTTATTATAAGCATGTCACCAAAAGTATTCCAATCTCATTAACAATTTACCAATTACAGATAAGACTCTAAAAATACAATTTTTAACAAATTCGCACAACCATTACTTTTAATATCACAAGTCGAAAAATCGAGAATGTCATTATAAGTGATAGAATAACTCGCGATTGTCAAGTGGAGCCTCGGTGAAGCGAAGCAATCGAAGGGCCCTATTCAGCAGAGAGCCAAGACATTTAAGAAAGGAGACGTGATGACGACGCTTGCGTTTCTAATACGAGCCCACAAGGCCACGAACTGAAATCGGGCAGAGAATTTCCGTGCACACACAAAAATAAAGTCGACATGGTTATGCTCAAGATTGACATCAGTAATTTACGTAACAATTTACGGCCCTCTGTCAATCCACTATAGGGCCTCGCCGCGCCATATCAGCCGTTGGCGTTGTTTGACCATATTTCACCATGTTGGTCAGTGAGAATTGGTGCAGGTGAGGGTGGGGGGTGGGGGGTAATGTGGGGTTGGGGGGGTGTCCCTGACCCACCGACACTGGCTGTGATCGGGAATTAAGTGCAGGTCAATAGCTTCAGGGCCAATTGTGCCAACTGCTGTGCCACTAATCCTCAGAGTAAAACTATTATTTTCGTAAATTGTATTCTTAATTGTTGTAAATAACGACGGTTGTCTTGCGAACAATGGTCGTCCAAACCCTTGCCAGGAGCATGTGGAATTTATTCCACCGGCTTAGAGCCAGTCATTTTAGATGACACTGACATAACTTTCGAATAAAAGTTTACAATCTCATAAATTACGATGTAAGCTGTGTGCACCCTTGAGGCTTCACAGTTATCCTTCATCAATGTCTACGAACCTTCCTGGCACTCAAAACACAAGGGAGGGGAATCTAGATATTACTTTTTCCATCTGAATACAGTATTGCATTCTCTGAATTAGATTACACTACTCCATTTAAATTGCATGAGACTAAATTTGAACAAAAGCATTCTCGAAATGACACATTTTACAGTGTGTAGCCCTTTTTTCGGGTTTGCACCGTGTGTTGTTCGGCACGATGTCCGACGTTTTGCTCCGCGAGCTGGGGGCTTCAGGAAGAAGCCGCTGTGCTACGAACCTGGTAACTAGAGTTCGAATCCTGGCTGCGAGTGACAGCAGTGCTGTCATCCGTGGCCAGAAATCAGCATCTTCGTAGCCCAGGGCACTGATGACTGCACTGACACTTTCATACGCACAAATACTATTCACGGTAATATTGTGTTTGCTAACTCAGGAAAGCCCCACCGAGTCTCGTGACTCTTTTCTGGGGAAGATCCTTGTCAAGCTTTTGCAGTTGGCGGCGATGATGGCTACGTGCAATCCCAAATCGAGTCATTTCCAGGGAAATTTTTTTACATTCAGAAAATTTGCACCGTGACGCCGGCAGACAGACGGCACCCAGCATCATCACGTTTGATGCCCCACCGCGGTATTAACCAGGGCGGCCGCCGGATTCGAACCATGAACCGCTGCGACAAGCGACGAAAACGCACTGCCGCTTGGCCATCTCAATGCCCAACACAGTCCATCGCACGAAATACCGCTCCCCACCCCTCTCCCCTGTATTGGTGTGCACAAGCACACGCGCTTCCATTGTGTGCATTCACTATGCCCGCACACATCACGCATGTCTGCGAAACGCGCAGAAATCATGCGAGTCCTGCATGTGAAAATATCGTTAATTTACATCCCCGCTGATATGCACATCACTCACACGCTCACACCTCTACATTTACCCACAAGACAAAGATCCCCCGTGTAGCCTGTAACAGACTGCTGGGGTAAGTGCTGTTAGCGAGCGACACCTATGAAGGCCGGCACAGCACACGGAGGGGATGGGTAGCCAACACCACGCCTGGCCGCCTTTGTCTCCCTAGTCGCGATGTTTACACACCGCACCAGGTACATATTTGAGGCTCAATCGACCTAGGGCAGACCCAGGACCGGTTCAGATAATCGCCACTGGTGTTGGCCATGAGCGGGAATCGAACCCGGGTCACCAGGTTCATAACGCAGCGTAGCGCTGACCGCGATGCTACCGCTCCCACACACACTCACACACACAGACTCCCACCTCGACATGCACCCACCTTACACACACTGCTGCTGATGTAGTAATGTTAAACAAGGCAATGCATTAATGGCTCTTTTGTGAAGCTCCATTACATTGAGCTAGTAACCTTCTCCAGTAGCAATTGTCTCTTGTAATTCCACAAGAAGACACCAACAAAACAGAGATGGCTGATCGCCTGTGCATAATGCAAGAAAGATTAGGGCAATTATGCTTTTATGATTGTGATGTAGCGAACGGCTAGAACAGTGACGAAGTAGTGGTTAGCACACTGCATTATGAGCAGAGTTCAATTGATGAATCACAGCTAACATCAGTTACGAGAGATACCTGAACCGGTCATGACCTTTCCCTCCGACCCCCAACCCCCCTCCGTTTAACAAATTCATATGTACGTTGAACTTCTTTCACACCATACGCAGCCAACCGCGCTAATCGTAGGTGCCTGACGTCTCGTCACAGAAGCTCGCCCTGCAAGAGCAGATCTCCCCCGATCTGGGACGGTCCACGGAGGTGCCGGAGGACCGTTGCCATCTGGCCCAACGAGGGGCTATGACCAGCAAGGATGGCCCTGTCCGCCTCCTTGTCTTGACCACGATCCCAGCAATGAGGGACCACGGAGGAAAGGAAAGGCGCAGAGACGTCCGCCCGTCCAGCGTATCGCGAACGCGCCAGTCGCAACCGCCGCAGGGAACCGAAATCTGGTGCAGAAGTGGAGCAGCTGACGTTTGGTCTCCTGCGCAGAGAGGGCCTATGACTAATTGTTAAGATCCACGAAGTGACCAGTGGGCACGGAGAAGCTAATCCACGTAGACCGGCGTGGTGAAGTATTACGGTCAAACAACCGCTGTGACCTCGCTATGCAGGGAAGCCCATATCCAGTGGCGCGTTGACAAAGGGCTGCGAATGTAATTTTAATGATCATGTACCGGCTCATTTTAACAACAGCGGAGAAACACAATGCACAGAAGAGTAGTTTGAGTTTGACAAATCCCCATAAAATGGTTTATTGTACGAACGCAATTAGAGGCCAAGCCCTTCGTCACACCGTGACAGTTTAAGGTTTCAATTGTTGCTTTTTGTCCTCATTTTCAAGAATGTTTGGCCTGGATTAGCTCAACAGTTTAGGGAGTGGTGTCTGGCCGACTGCGTCTCGATCCGTGTGTTTATTATTGGAAGGCTGCACTGAGGTAAATAATGAAGGGGGCATCTCCCCCTTCAAGCTCTGGCCACATCTGTGCTGATGTAAATAATGAAGGGGGAGATGCCCCCTTCAAGCTCTGGCCACATCTGTGCTGATGTAAATAGTGAAGGGGCATCTCCCCCTCGAGCTCTGGCCACATCTGTGCAGGCCAGCAGGGAAGGGAAGAGAGCCGCACCGCCGCTACCACCCGAAGTCATCTGGTAACAATTTGAAGTTTAAAAAATAATAATATCCACTCTGGGCCACCGCAGCATTTAAACAGAAGGCTTTATCCAGTTCAGTGAGCATACAGTTAACTTCTCGACGTAAGATATTAATCAGGCGATAGAGTCCCACAAGCGGGGGAGTGTTCCGAGGCAAACGACACGGCAGTGACATCACCCGCACTCTGAGACGCGGGAGATACGGTCGCACGCGGGCTAACGGGGCATTCTGATACTCGACAAGCGGCACGGCGCAGCCATTCATTGGCGAATCTTCGAGTTGTAGGGGATGTCACGGGGCTTTAGATAGATAGTGCAAATGCGTTCAAGGTGAACATAAAAAAATTCCCGAACGATGTAATAGAAGTTTTATACGTTAGAATCACATCTGCACCTGCCATGTTGTGTTGTCTCTGTACATTTAAAACGGGGTGATAATGTCAGACGAGACAAGCAGAATTTAAAAAGTGACAGCTAATCTCAACCGCTTGATAGCGGCGTTTTGCACGGATTTGATAAATGCATTTCGTGATGCAAATGACAAAAAAGATGTATTAGCTCGGCTGTTGATTTTTGGGCAATTCCGCTCGCGATATTGAACGGCGTAAGTTCTGATATGAATTTTTTTTTTACAAATCGTTGCTATTAGAAATTGATTTCTCAGATAACAGATTCCATGTAAAATGTTAACTGCGTTCGTCACTTGAACATATTTTCGTGCAGCCAGCCCCGTCATCAGCGACCCTCCCTCCCTCCCTGCGGCTGCACACTCTCGCTCCTTTGTTGCCAGATTTGCACGTTTTGTTTAAGCATTCGCCCCGAGGAAAAGAATAACTGAGAGGCGCACGCTTCGGAGATTGACAGCCCTTCATGCGGCCGATCAACATCAACACACCGTCACGATGTGTCGGAGAGGAGGCCTCTGAAGCCAGGTTCACATTCTGTATCACGGTGGGTTTTCCGCACAGGGCATACGACTACTAATCACTACTGGTTTGTTTACGTACCTCGTGGCAAGGGGACTCGAATCCCATTAAGGGTCAACTCAGCCCATCATCACCATCATCATCATCCTCCCCTGGGTTGATAAAGTGAGTAGCCACTTTGTACAAAGCCAGGAGTAGTTGCTATTGGGAAAGAAACTGGGCCCTGCCATCGAAATGTGTAACTTTCACAACTATCTCAGGGCTGCCTATGCAGATGGGCAAGTAGACACTTTAATTATATTTTTTATAATAATAACAATATTCTTACGAATTACGTCAGGGGAACTTTAAGGACCGCTTGCAAAACAGACGGTGCGCAGTATTATTATTATTATTCTGGCGGTGCGTGCACATCGCAGTGTGCATCGCGGTGGCGGCCTTCTGGTGGGACTGTGAACCTGCTCCTCCTGCTGGGCCGCATCACCACCACCCACCACCACCCACCACCACCGCCGCCACGCAGTGCGGGCACCGCGGATTTGAAGTGAAGCCGTAGGGTCCAGATAACGGCGGCGTGGGGGGGGGGGGGGCAGCTCTGCGAGAGTGAAGAGATGAGTTGTAGTAGCCCAATGGGGTTTTTTTTTGTATGGCCACATAGAACATTTTAGACGAGTAGAGAGGCCAGCTTGAGTTTTTTTAAAAACATGGGTGTTTGAGACGTGAGTAAGATGTGTGTCGCTGTACCTGTCAGAGAGATAAACTAATAAAAAAACGTCTGGCTTTTGAATACTGCTGTATGTACAGAATGCTAGGAATTGTATGGAAAGACACGATAAGCAACCTGGAAGTTTGGAACATAACGAGGCAGGAACGTGTCGTAAATATATGCAGGAGGAAGGTGATGGTCACTAGTGCGTTATGCAGAATATAATTTTGCACCGAATGTGAACCGATATTTTATATAGAGGATCCTTGCCTATGACACCTGGCAGTTGACCCAGCATTGATTCAAGGAAGCCTGACACTGCTCATGAGAACACTGAATGTTGAAACCAGGCTCAGAATCTGCTTGTGCTGAATCAATGCTGCTGAAATTGTGCACTTCCAGAAAGGTGGATTGGTTGTGTGAGAAATATTTTTTTTTTACGTACAAAAAAAGAGACGTTGTACATGAAGCAGACGTTTTGTCTGTTCATCTCCGCTGTTCGGTTCGGTAGTAAAAAAAATGAACCCGTAAAAACAAAGTTTTTCACTATAAATCCTTTATATGCGTGTTCAATGGGCCACAACCCAGCCCACATTGGTCTTTGAAACGGGCGGCTAGAGTCCTCTCGTCCTCTGGCTTGAGATGGCTGCCACCTATGGGTCAGATGATTGCCTGCCACCATTAAGCAATTGGTAATTAAATATAATTGTTTTTTTCCTAAAAAGTGTAAAAATTTGGAAAAAAAATTTCACGAAAATAAATTGTCACGCACAACGAGTCTGTGTGCAAAATGTCAGCTCGATTGGATCACGGGAAGTGGGTTAAAAAACGACCGAAAGATTTGCACGGTCGTAAGCACGCAAGCAAGCAAGCAAGTGAACTTAATATAAAGGCTTTAAGAAGGCTAGGATGGGCAGGGCCACGTGTGCGGTGCACGGGAGGGCGGCTTGTTGACGCAGCCATCGGAGTGACACCCACCCAGATGGTTGCAACCACGGGGAAGAGGAGACCTAAGGCCAGAGATGGTGCCAGTAATACGACTGTAAAAGAGCAATCCCTGGGAAGTTTGGTGTTGATTTTGCAAAAGCTTCAGGATTTTTATTTGTTGGACAAAAGCGATTGCAGGTTGTGGTAACACCACCAACGATGCCATTGGCCATGATTCTGGTCTCTCGTGATGTAATCTTGGCATTACCGCGGACGCTTCACATAGCAGGCCTTGATATTGTACTCGGTAAATTACATGTGAAAAGTGAACTTTACAGAACCTTAGAGAAGACAATGAAACAAGTTAGTTTTGGAATTGGAATTATTTAAAAATGTACGGGTTTTTAACGTACATCCTGTAACATTCTCAGTTATTTTTAGCATCAGTTATTTACCCATACTCTCACTTTCATGCGAGGGATTTAATGTTATACTTCATGTACAAATCTGCAGGAGTAATGTAATTCAAATTAAAATCTAAATTTTATTACGGTGAGACTAAAGATCTCAAAATCCATTATTAAATCTTGTAATATGAAACATTTGTAATCTTCATAAATCCTTCAAACATTGTATTTATTTCCACATTAAGTCATAATTATGGCTCTCTTAGTGGCTGCTAACTCTATCCAGATAGCATGTCATTTAATGATACTCACAATTGAGGTTTACACCAATGTACACTTACATGAAGTTCAAACAGCTGAAGCGTCCACTAACTTTACCTCGCAAATACAAACGTCTCTCTAATAGCAGACCAACGTCTCCTCGTTTCCTTCTGTCGTCACTCTTCTTGACAGAGATTCATTGTCGCGTTCACCCATCCACATTCGACTCTTCGTGTGGCTCAAGATTAAATTCAGATACCAGTTTTAGATTTTAGACCTGTACGTACATTGAACTTTTTTCGCACCGTACGTAGCCAACCGTGCGAATCGGAGGTGCGGGGGAGGGACAACAGCCGAAGGAATGAGTTTTCAATGTACAGCCCCAGTGGCTTCCTACTATCAGAAGGAAGGGCGCTCCAGACATTATTCACTCTACAATCTCAAACCCTCGCCGCTAAACTTTACAAAGATTGCCGCTCGGCACGTTAATCCCCTGCAAGCGGAGCTGTGAGTCGCAACTTTATCCAATTCTTCCCCGTTCAGAATTATTTTCAGGATCTAATGGGACGAAAGCGATGACAGCTTGTGGTAACACCGGTGATAGCATTGTTCGTCATTTGAGCTCTCGAATGTAATTCTTGGCTTTACCAAGATGCTCCACGGAGCTGTGAACCACGAATCTTCTTTGTCTTCTCTGAGGCCGTCTGTAATTTGACCTTCGTGCAGTTAAGCGATGACGTACAATATCAAGCCCTACAGGGTTTAAGCATCCTGGTAATGGCAATATTATATTATAAGAACTCAAATCATGGCCAATGCCATCACCGGTGTTACCACAACTTGGCATCACTTTCATCTGATTAGAGCCGTTGCTTTGTACGTACGTTGAACTTCTTTCGCACCATACGTAACCGACCGTGCTCCCACACTGCCCCCCACTGCGCTAAAGTCACACAGTGGGCGATCTACACGCGCCGTGCACGCTACAGGTGCCTGGCACGCGCCGTGCACGCCCCGGCAATTACTGTGAACGGCGCGGTGCTCGCCGCACCTTCAGCACGAGGGGGTGGGGGCATCATCGCGCATTCAAGGCAACAATTCTGCAAAGTGTCGCATTTTCACTAAATCACTACGAGCGTGCACCACCGCCACCCTCCCCCCCCCCCCCGCTCTCTGCACCCTGATTGCTGCACTTACGAGCAATTTTGCCTCGTTGTACGAGCGTCTGATCGGGAGCGCGGGTGACGGCGGCGCTGATTTGCCGCTATAGCCTTGCTCGTGCGAGAGACTGATTTTGCCGGTATTGTCTACAGGACCTGGCCCTCCCGTCACGTCCTCTGGTATCACGCACCGTGCGGGGGCCGACGCCTTCGAGGGAAGTTGCACGAGATGGGATCGGTGAGCGTAACGAGTCGAGCGAGTGGCGGCAGTGCCGTCAAGTTGCTCCTGGACAAAATGAAAAATACCCGATTTTTTCCACCGCTTATTCAAAGCGACGTTTGTCAGCTTCCCGAGGGAGGATTGATGAGAAATTCGGTACCGCTGCTGAAAGTTTGCAAGCTATTGGTTTGTCGGGAACGAGTTGAATGTGATTGAAAACAGAATCGAGCTGCCGAGGCTTGCGTTGCCACCTAAACAGCAATTGTAACATTTTGCTGTTTGCAGTAAATCATTCGTAAACAGAAGGAATTCTGAGGGAGTAAAACCTGATCCCGCAGGGGCCAGTAGCTGATAGCCATGTGGTCAGAAGTGACCCCATCGACATGAGCTATTGAATGTCCTCAAAGGGAGCTTCCAACTCAAGCCCGAAGAGACGAATTGAGGCCACAGTGGGGAGGTTTGAGAAGATGGATGACGCAGCGCGGTGTTAAGTCACGGGGCCCTAGAATGACACAAAAAGATTTGTCGGTTAGATGTGTGGATGTCACACGGGGGGTATGTAAGCCACCTGTACCGGGTGTGGCCTTCGCCAAGGAGGATATCGCTCGAGAGGAAAGGCTTCTCAAGGTGAGACTGCAGATTCAGTCACGCTGAACATGAGGCATGCATGTGTTTGTACTGTGCGGGTCTGTCCTGTATGCGTTTTGCACGGAGTGTCCGTGCGTGTGTGAGGAACGGTAGTGGTGAGCGCGCTGCGCTACGAACCTGACGATCCGGGTTCAGTTCCCGCTCACGGCCAATACCAATGACGATCACTTGAAACGGTTCTGGGCCTCCCCTGGGTCGATTCGGCCTAAAATGTTTACCTCGTGCAGTGTGTACACATCGCCACGCGGGAGATGAAGGCAGCCGGACGTGGTGCTGGCCACCCATCCCCTTGTAGGTCGTGCCAGACTTCATAGGTGGTACTCACTGACAGCACTTGCCCCAACAGTCTGTTCAGGCTATACGGGGGATCTTTGTCTTTGTACCATACTGTCACGATTCGGGGCTCACAGAGTCAAATCGGGAATTGATTCCTGTTCGTCTTGTGCACCGTACTGTTTGTATTGTATCTACATATAAACAAAATACATTCCCACATGAAACGTTATGATTGTTCCATGAACCTCAATGCAACGTTAGAATGCCATCCATGTGCCGCCTAAGGCGGTCACCCATAATCTATGCACAAATGGCTAGGATTGACTTTAATCCATTAATCGATGCATCATCGTTACATTTCTACCGGACATATTGGGGTGGTGATGGTGCAGAGGCGTTTGGCAGTCCGCAGGGTTGGACTTGCCGTTCTCAAAACAGCACTCCTTTGCGAGCGATACATTGTGAATTTGACGCAGCAGAAACAGATTTCAGGCAGGAATTCCCGTTATCACTTATTTCAACGCGGCGGCGCAGGAGGAGGAGCCGCCTCTGGCGGTTGATTTGCCTCTTCTGAAGCTTGGAATGGGTTTAAGCTCAATATCAAATTATTAAAATGGGAATGTGTGAACCACAGTAGCTGTTGGATCTTGCATATCGTAGAAATATTCTGTGTGATATTACCAACAACCATAACCCTCATCTTGAAAATAATGTACTCATTAACATGTTATTCATGACAAGTAGAAGCCATATGGTGGAGTTGTGGTGCAATAGTTAGCGCACTGTGTGCGGTGAAGCCGGTGACCCGAGTTGTAACCCCTGCCACGGCTAACATCAGTGGCGAGTGGTATCTGCATTGATCTTGCACCCCCACCCATCCCCCAATGGCTCTCCTTACCCTTCACAAGCCCCCAATGACCAGCATGGTGAAGTTTGGTAGAAGCAAGCCTCCATTGCTGCACAGAGCAAGGAGGCTTTCACCAGGCAGTGAACTAACCAAGGTCTGCAAATTATTCAACATTATTATTGTACAACAATTACGTGAGATGAATGATAACCCTAACCTTTATCTAAAAGTGCATTTATTCAACATTAACAAGAATATGTTTAACAAATATCTCGAAGAAATACAACTTTTTTATTATCGATAAATTACTTTTCATTAACATTAATAAGGCTGTTTTAATACATTTGAAAATGTTTTTAATCTTGTATATATATTAAAGAAGATGCAGAACCCAATGCACCAATACTCTACAGCGGTGGTTGTGTGCATGGTTTCAAAGCCGCAGACGTTTCACTCGTCGGAGAGTGCAGGGGGGTGAGCCCTCTAAATGTCCCGTGTCCCACCCAACAATCCTACACGTGTCATCGCAGCACAAGCCCCAGTATATCCCGTGGCATCGTGCCCGTCCACGTGCCTCCGTCATTCTTAGTTCCGCTGCCTCTGATTGGCTCCTTCACGATGGGTTCCTTTTTTTACTCTTTAGAGGAGCACATCCGCTGATTTTAATATTTGACGACGTTTCCCTTTGCGGCATTGTTGACATACTTGTACTTTGAAACCAAAGTACAAGTATGGTTTCATGTTGTTATTATTTCATTGGAGGCACTTTTACAGACATGTTATCAGACAAACAACATTTCACATTCAAAAAAGAAACCATTCGCCATCTTTATAACAAGAATGCACGGAGCAAAGTGTGGTATGAGTGCTTCCGATACAAATTCAAGGTTGAGGAGCACTGAACAGGACCACAAAGACATTACCAGCACATGACAGAGGCCAGCAGAAACCGCTGCAGACACCGACTAAAAAGCCACGTTTATTTCCTTTTGTATCCTATCAATCTCTGCATCAACACTCCTCAAGTGATCTTGGATTATTTGGACCCGTTATATAAGCACGAGGGGAGAGCTGTTGGTGCAGCGGTTAGCAGCGCACCGCATGATGCACATCGTGACCCGAGTTTAATTCCCTGCCACGACTAATACGGGCGGTGAGCAATGCTTGATCCGGTCCTTGGACCCCCCTCCTCCCCGCACTCTCATCCCCTTCACCGATCCACACAGACCAGCGTGCGTGAATTACGGTCAAACACAACCCGTACGGGCCACATGTGGGGCAGACCTCCACCCAACAGCGGATTGACAAAATGTCCGGATTGCATTTTTAAGAACACGCGCTGTGCCATCGTTGTGTCGGGCACAGCGCGATGCGGCTTTCGCCCGGCGGCGTTGTCCCCGGCTGCGGTTCCTCCTGGCCCCCGCGCACAACAACGCTACCCCCCCCCCACCCCCCATCAACTGCATGGAGAGCGGCATGTCTGTTGCGCTTACACTGACGGCGAGCGAATCGCAGGGGAGGCACCCGTGCTCGTACGGGCAAGCTCATGCAGGGATCAAAGACGACATCTGGGGTGGGGTTCGTGGCACGAGCGCATGCACAGGGACAGACGCACCGAAGCAGGCACGCGCACAGGCACAGGCGGGCGGGCGAGCGCTACGACCATGCAATGGCGCTGTCAAAGTACGGCACGGTGTACCAGGACGGAGCCCACAAAATGAGTTGCGACTGCACTACGCACATCGGGCCTGTCTGCATGGCGCACTGGGGGGGCGGTGGGGCACACCATCATCGACCCACAGAAGGGAAATGGGATTGTGGAGTGGGGTGTGGGGGATGAGAATGGGACAGGTATAGGGATGGGTATGGGACAGGTATGGGATGGGTATGGGACGGGGAGGATGCTTTGTTTTTATTTATATGGCATTTTGTAAACGTCCTTTACCTTTCTGTTCCAGCCCTACATTTTAGCGGCAGGTTTCAGGGGGAGAAGATGTTAAGGAAGAAGGAGAAAAGAGGAGAGATTAGCCGTGCGAATCACAGGAGCGAATTGGGTAATTGCTGGACACATTGATGGTGATGACACATCACGGCATCTTACCATTCTCTTTGCGCTACACACGTGGACACAAACTGATATCTCCGTAGCACCGAGAGAGAGAGAGACAGAGCCAGCACCTGGATTGTCCAAGGCGTTTGTGTCATGAAAGGAATATATCGTGAAGTTAATCCTGTGTGATCTAGAATATTTGTTTTACTATTAACAAACATATTACCATTTAATATTATCCACCATTCATAATTTCCCTATCTATAAATTTGAGAAATCAAGCGACCCAAACATTGTAATTGCAATCACCGGCATTCTATGCATGAAATTCGCTAATTGTTTTCTCTCCCGTTTAATTGCACACAATCACGCCTCCAAGCAAGTTTCATTGCCGTCCTAACCAACTGTTGACTCTCCGAATTATCTCTCCCGCCCCGTCGCAAAAGCAGCTGGGGCAACGCGCTGCCGCAGCGCGCGCAGAGCGCTAACGATGGCAGCGGCGCCCGGCGCGGGGGAGATCACCTGCGGTGGAGTCGAATCGCTCCTGCGAGAGAGCGGGCCACACGGCTCACGCGAGAGGCCACAAATCACGAGGCATTCCTAGCGGCCTGGGGCCTCACAGACCCCTTGTGGGGCGTAACTGTCGAGCGTTGCGGAACTAACGGTGAACCCCACCGGCAGCCCCATCCAGCCCAGCCCGGCGGCGCGGGAGCCATAACTTTTGATAGTGTGACAAAATGCGGACGTTTAAATAGAAATGCAGCCAGCAGCACCGCCACTCAGATAATGCAGCTCTCGAGGCATGACGCGTGCACACATGCGCGCGAACACACGCACGCACACGTGCGCGAACACACACACGCGCGCACACACGCACACACACACGCGCGAACACACGCACACGCACGCGCACGCACACACACACGCGCGAACACACGCACACACACGCACGCGCACACACACACGCGCGCACACACACACACGCGCACACACGCACGCGCACACACACACAAGCTCACACACGCACACGAGCGTACACACATACGCGTGCACACATGCGCGCGAACACACGCACGCACACGCGCGCGAACACACACACGCGCGCACACACGCACACACACACGCGCGAACACACGCACGCACACGCACGCGCACGCACACGCACGCGCACGCACACACACGCGCGAACACACGCACACATGCACACACACACACGCGTGCACACACGCACGCGCACACACACACACGCGCACACACGCTCACACATGCACACGCGCGTACACACATACGCGCGCACACACATACGCGCGCACACACATACGCTCACACACACGCACGCGTGCGCACACACATACTCGCACACACGCGCACACACACATGCGCGCGTGCACACACACACGCTCACACACACGCGTACGCGCGCGCACACACGCGCACACACACACACACATACACACACAGACGGGCACACACACACGCGTACACACGCACGAGCCCGTGCACACGCTGGCTTGCCTGCTCGTACGTGCGCGCGTGCGCACACACACGGGAGGCAGTCACATGCTAAACTCTCCATGCTAGGTAAGATATACCGCTAATAAATAAAAAATCATCACACGTGGCATTCTCGTTGTAACAACAATAGAACCGCATAGGTGGTTGGTGCAGAGTTTCATTTCCATGGGAGCTGCCTGTAGTGGATTATGAACGAAGGGAGCGGGAGTGGACGTGGCGACACTTACTGTAGGGGACGCATTCGTAATGAACTTCGAGGAACTTGTAGATGCCAGGGCAGGGGTCCTGGAACACGTCGCTGCCCGCCACCACGATGCACTGCGTCCGATTGTTGCATCTGCACGCGTACACACACACAAAGACAAAGATCCCCCTTGTAGCCTTTACAAACGGTTGGAGGCATGCGTTGTTGGCGAGTACCTATGAAGGCCGGCACGGCACACGAGGGGGTGGGTGGCCAGCACCACGCCCAGACGCCTTTGTCTCCCCCAGTGGCGATGTTTTTACGCACCGCACCAGGTACTCATTTGAGACTGAGTCGACCTAGGGGAGGCCCAGGACCGGTTCAGATAATGATCACCGGTGTTGGCCGTGAGCGGGAATCGAACTCGGGTCGCCGGGTTCACAGCGCGGCGCGCTAACCGCTACACTACCGCTCCCCACACGCACACACGCACGCACGCACGAACGCCCAGACAGACAAACACCCCATTTCACATCGCCTGGTGTGCACAATGGCCTCACAATTGTCTACCTGACTGTCGGAGACAATCGGGTAAATAGATGCAGCAACTCGGCAGGTGCATGTCACTGTGTAACACCTGCTGGGGGAAATGAGGCAGAGAGAATCGTGCGGTTGCGATGTCTATATATATTGAGCCTTATTGAATTTCCCTCTCTTTTTTTGACTAAAAGCACAAAATAAATAAATAAGAATATAAAATTGTAGGTTCAACAACTCAAAGCTGTTTCTTGCTCGTACAAGCAAGCAATGAAGCACGTGTGTCCGACTGTAGCTCTCAGTCAATGGTGGAAATTCCACATTCCTTTGGCAAGGGTGAGATAGTGCTCAGGACGAACACTGCTGACTGCCCACACCATAAGGAACATTTTGTTTGTTTGGGAGCCACGGCAGGAGATGGCGACTTCGCCGCTCGTTGAGAGGTTCGCAGTTCGCGAGCAGCTGCCGCCCTGCCCTACACCACGGGCGTCTTCACCGAGCCATCGCACACCGCCCCCACTAAAGAGGGCATCGCAATACCTTACACCGCAGACATGACATATCCCGTGACGTCTTTACAACAAACAGGCCACGTGTGCCGGCGTCACGTCCAGATTAGTCCAATTTTAAAAGTATCGTACTAATTTGGTAAAACCACATTTCAACATCGACCCCTACCGGCAGACTACACCTACCCGTGAAGCACGACACCTTCGGTATCACTTAGCGTTAGGAGAATGCCGCAAATGTGAAATGTACGAATTGTTATGAAGGAAGGAGGGAAGGCCCAACCAGGATGTGAACTCCCAACTTAATAATCACGATCATGCACACTAAGCACTGCATCCACACGGCCGGTTGTCGTTAAGCTACTTCCTGCCGATTCATTTTGCTGCCACCTTTCGTCAAACGGCCTAAGTGAACGGTAATATTGACAACATACGGCAGCAGCATAATAATAATAACGATTTCTTTTTGATACGGTGCCCTTTTACACCGGGGTGTCCCGGAGCGCTGCGAGGCACGGGCGCGTGGAGGAACGATCCTGCAGCGAGGAGGGAAAACTATCCGTGTGGGGGGGGGGGGGGGGCATGCGTCGGCATGCTTCGACTAGCCAAGGGGGCCCAAGGGGGCTCACAGCATTAGGCTGCCCTCCCCCCCCCCCCGTTACTACCAAATATTACGGTGACAACCGCCTTCTTTTGCCACGACTGCGCTCCCTGTTGTTTCCACACTCGATGGCGCACGACACTCATCGAAACATCCACGGAAGGGTCATCTGGCGTACACGCTTAAAGGAAAGGAGGCAGATTTTCAAAGAACACGGGAATCCATTCTTTAGACAACGATTTTAAACAGCACCCCAGCCCCCACTAACGTCCACGACTTCCAGGCCCTGCGCCCCCCTGGGACCCCCCCCCCCTGTCCGAGCGTGAGGTCGCCCCCGACCAAAGACGCACCCGCAGCTCTTCACGTGCCCACCTTCCCCTCCGCTGCAGTGGATTGACAAAAATGGCTGCGACGCCTAAAGCCCCCTTTGCCCTCTTAAACATCGCAGGCCACGCGCCGGAAGCCTTTACAAAATAGATTTATAAACACGAGCGCAAAAACGAGGGGGCCGTTCCCCTCGTTGCTCCGGGTGAAATATCCGAGCAGCAGACGAATGTGAAGGGAGAGCTCCCCGCAAGCTCCAGGAGCACGGAAGGCAGCGACGCGCGCCACGACCACAACCAAGATCAGAACCTGTATTTATACTGCAGGAGGAATCAGATGAGCTTCAAAGCTCTTTTTCACAGATGTCCAGTAGGGGCACAGGGTCACAACGTTACACAGAACAAGCAGTACAAAAACACGTCAAGCGTGCAAAGTATAGGAAAGGTAAGCAAAGAGCTTTTTAAAAATATAAAAAAATGTGTCTTACCAGGTAAAGCCCACTGATGTTAGCAGTGCTAATGAAATCCGACTAGATATCTGTGAAAAAAAGCTTCATATCCCATCGGATTCCTCCAGTCTCAATGAAAATTCTGATTCTGATAAAGAATTCGGGTCACCTGGCTCATAGCACGGCGCAAATAGACACGCACACGTACAAATACGAGAATACCGGCAACGATACAGAAACACAACGCAGGAGCGCAAGGTGGCGAAGCGCGACTTGGCGACTCGCGCAGCGCCGCTCAGCGCCCCCACATCGATCATGCTCGTGCGGCAATGCAGCACGACGCCACACCACGCCGCAGGGCAGAAAGTGTTGTGACGGTGTGAACACGCTCGTGCGTGCATTGTAATTGCAAGCCACGTAATTCGGCATTCTTAGAAGCGTGCGTGCGTTGAGCACGCCTTTGTATTTTTTTCCTTACAGCTTTGCAATTAAACGCATGCCTCATGTAAAGCCGCTGCAATTATTAGGCGCGCCGTCCGCAGACCAAGTAATGAAATGGCCGTGCACGGCTATTCGCAGGACGTAAGCCGGGCAGAGCACGCCGCCAGCGCGTCACGTGACGTCACGCGCGAGGTGGCGTTGCTCTCCGCTGGGTGTTCGGGTCGTCCCACGTGACGTTCGGCACGCCGTCCGACGTTTCGCTGCACGTTCTGAGAGGTTTTTCAGGAAACTGAACCGCCATGTTCGGCACGATGTCCGACGTTTCTCTGCACGCGCCGGGAGCTTCCTCCATTCAGTTCCTGAGGTTAAGTTCCCAGCAGAAAGCTCTCAGCAACAGGCGGAGAGAAACGTCCGGACATCACGATGGGCGACAGATGCGGAAAAAACCCAGAAAACACATCGGGGGGGGGGGGGGGGGGGCCGGTACAGCACAACCGCGGAAAGCGACGCGGTTGCATAACCGTGCCGTGACGCGCGTGGCAATGACGACAAGCGTCACGGGATTCCTCGCGGTGTGCCGAGGAAGACCGCCAGAGCGAGCCGCTGGAGTCATTAGAGTTCGTCTCGTTTCTTCGGTGAAGATGCACTGGAGGAGAGACGAGGCAAACGAGCCTCAGGGCTCGGATCACTTCGCCCAGCCGTGGGTGAGAATGCCACGTGCTATATTTGCGGCAGAGAATGATGCAAATTAACCGCTGCCCTCATACGATCCGAATGTTTGACAATCCCCTCTGGGATGATGCTTTGGGTCACAAAATATGGACCATGTTTCGCCCTTGGTCAATCAACTATTAGATAACGACCTCTCTCTCTGTGTCGTGTCGGTTATGGGAGTTGTGTGACAATACTTTGCCATGCTGGTCAGTGCAAGTTGGTGGAGGCGGGGACCGGGGTGGTTTGGGAGGAGAATAAAAAGTCCAGATGTCACGAACCACTGATCAATGATAGCTGTGGCCAGGAATTGAACTCAGGTCACCGGGTTCATTGCATTAACAACTGCACGTATAAAATAGAGACACCTGGTCCACCAATATTCTAAAGGGCAGAACTTTTTCATTTGCCTTTTGCCCAATTGTATTATATCTGTATTACTTCTGTCATGTCATGAGACAAAGTGGCCATTTCCTGACACACGGGGTGATGCGCTGCTTTCTGCACATCACCCCGTGGGTCGAGGAATGACCACGGTGGAAGCAGATATCACGGAACTATTTCTCAAATCCATTGCAGGTGGCCTCGTTTATCTACAGAAGAGGGAACCATCTTTCCCATGTGCCCCGTTTACAGAGGAATGTTCGTCATGATCCAATAAGTTATCCTTCCCCCTGTACCTCCGATTAGCACGGTTGGCTATGGAAGGCGTGACATAAGTTCAACGTACAGCCATATATAACAATAAGTATCTCGCCATATTCAGTGAATGCGAGTGTTCTTTTGTGCAGTCGTTGGTCACCGCGCTGAGACCATAACTTCGCTTCACTTGAAAGCTCGCGTTAAATCGCAGGTGGCTAAAACTCCAATTTAAATCCAGGATCTCAGTGATGGCAGGCTCAGATGTCTAACCCCTGAGCCATCGGACCAATGTTAGGCCTTAGGGATACATTCTTGGCAAGGGAAAAGTTGAAAAGTGTATGTATGCTACACGTAATTTGTGAACTATCATTATCAGCATCATCATCATCATCGTGGTGTATACTTTACATCGTGCCTCCCATGTGGTATGCTTTGAGTCACCAGAACAAAAAGACATTTGAGATCATTACTCAGCAGGGAAGTCGTTGCACGCGGAATACGACGTTCGCTCGGGAACGAGGCAGTGTGTAAGTACTGTGCACAAACAAATAAACCAAAATGAAAGGCTAAACTCTGTGCTTCTACTTTTCGTTCACTTCACTGGAGCTATTTGTACTCTGTCTAAAAATAATGTTTTTCATTTACGTCGTTAAAAAGGAGGAGTTGTGGCCACATTAATCCTACGTCCTGGGAAGCTGTTCCGCACAACTTTGGTGACAAAGTGAAGGAACTTGTGACCATCACGGCCCTGCCTGGGTGGCCGCACTGTTGCTGATTATTCACGCCGGCAACATTGCGGCCCCTTCAACGATTAAATCAACGAGTACATTGGCAAGTCAGCTGATTGATTTGCTGGTCAAATCATTAGTCAGTTCGACTTGGTAAGTAGTTGGATTCATTGCCCATTACTAGCGGGGAGCATTTTAAGTGTGCAGAATCA